TCCTTTCCTTTCTTCCCCTTTCTTTCTTTTCCTGTCCTTCTCTCCTTCCCTTTCCTCTCCTTTCTTCCTTTTCTTTTCCTCCTCCCCTCCCCTCCCCTTCTCTTTGCTTCCCTCCCCTCCCCTCCCCTTCCATTTTCCTTTCGGTTCCTTCTTCCTGTCCCTCTTTTTTCTTTGCTTGTCTCTTTTCATACTGCATTTCAACCAGAGGCAGTACATACAATTTCAACAGCTCACCTCAGAAGCTGGGAAAGCATTGATAGCAAACCCGGCTGCTTCTGAAGCCAGCAGCGTCGCTATTCAAAAGCAGCTGGGTTCAGCAAAAGAAAAACTGTGTGTGTGTGTGTGTGTGTGTGTGTGTGTGTGTGTGTGTGTGTATAGGGGAGCTTTTTTCCTCTCCCCACTCCCCAAAGGTAGCACTTTAAAGAGCTTATAGAATCACAGAACCAATTTTAACGGTGGGAAACCATTTATTCAGCAAACCTCGTGGTGCCAAATATTCCAAGCATCGCTGCTGTTGTTTTTCTCCTACCAACCCTCCTCTCTCTCTCTCTCTCTCTCTCTCTCTCTCTCTCTCTCTTTCTCACACACACACAGACACACAGACACACACAAGCAGGCCTTAGCACAGCAGTGCCTTTTTTTTTTTTTCCTTCAAAAGATTTGGAGGAGGCAGAAGGACAGAGCAAAATTCGCTAGTTCTCATTTTAGGAAGTTATCAGGCGCCCTCCTCTGGCTACGTTGGAGACTCTTCAACTTTCTTTTAGAACTTGGTCTATCTTGGTTTATCACACTTCCTCCTGGTTCCCCCCCTCCTTTTTTTAAAAAAAAAAGAAAAGAGAGAGAGAGAGAGAGAGACTCACTCACTGGAAGGGGTTTGCTTGGACCTCAGGAGGAAAGCAGCATAGAGGTTGAAGTCGGTTAGGTAGCCAAAACTTCGGATTAGATCGTCCCGTGGTCAGACAAATTGTTCTACATGCAAAGGATTGATGAAAAGGAATGCCTTTGTCTCCAGATTGACAGTTTAAATGGGGGTATTTTGTTCATTTCATGGCAATGATTCTACTTATCGAAGACGGACTGCACAATGTTTCAAGACGCAACAGGAAAGTCACATAGAAACAACACAGAGGAACAATGGGAATCTGTCAATTGTCTGGGTCTCCAGCCAGAGGAGTGGGCTGGACTAGATGACTTCCAAGGTCCATTCCAGCTCTATACTATTTTACTCTGTTCTAACCTAACCAACCTGCCAAGAGACAATTGATCTCAACGAACGTATTCCTAACCATCAGCATGACATGTATAGGTAGTGCTTGATTTATGACCATAATTGAGCCCCAAACGCCTGTTGTTAAGTGAGTTTTGCCCCCTTTCTTGGCACTGTTGTTCAGTGAATCATTGCAGTTGATAAGTTAGTAACCCGGTTGTTAAGTGAATCCGGTGTCATCTCGTAAAGCATTCCTATGCTTCTTTTTGAGTTGCCATAATCAGGAGGGGTGGGAACCCTGAAGAAATAGTACAGCAATGAAAACCAGAAGTACATTCCATGCTTATCTTACAAAGATTGTAGCCTAGGCTACTGGATCTTCTGCCCATGAAAATCCTTCATTGGAGAGTGTGGTTGATGACACCCAGCTCGTGAAGGTGTTTCATTGGAGAATCTGATTTATGACACACCCAGGGGGAGGGGGGAAACAGGGTTACAGGTGACTGTAAGTTACGTATGTCAGAGTTGGCTTCATATAGGTCAATGCCAGCATGTTGCTCCTAATAAATCTTTTGGATTCTTCTGAAGCTTGGCTCAAGGCTCATGATTTAAATAGGGCAATCGCTGGAAACCTGACATCTCAATTGCCCCATTAACATTGCTTGTCAGAAGGTCACAAAAGGGGATCACACAACCTTGGGACGTAGCAACCATCATAAATACAAGTTCACGTCCAAGCATCTGAATTTTGATCTCATAATCTTGGGGACGCTACAAAGGTCGTAGCTGCGAAAAAACGGGTCCCCTGTCACATTTCTCAGTGCCGTTGCCGTTGAACGGTTACTAAATGAACTGTTGCAAGTTGGGGACTGCCTGTAATCGTTGATGAGCCCCCATCCATGTTTTTAATATGACCTTACCCACCATCTTAGGGGCTGCGTTTGTCCTGGGAGAGGAATATAGACTTGATTTTTTTACCCTTTATGGACCTCCTCCAAAGAAATTTACTTTTAACCAAGCCATGGAAACATTTTAATTACAACCGTGGACACGTAGAAATAAATATTACATTCATTCAGTTTACAGTGAATACCAGGCCAGTCTTGTTAAAATAACAATAATAATAAAAAAGAGGTCGGTCTACATTATGAGGTGGTCAACTTCCAGGGAGGCCATCCCAACGCAAGAAGAGAAGTAAAATAGAAGGTGTTTTTGGGTGGGAGAAAACCCAAACCCAAACAGGGCACAAATAAAATGCAATGAGGCATTTAAGTATCCCTAACAATGATTGACAGAGCGTGTTCCCATTTTGCAAGCAGGCTGGAAAGCTTCCAGAAGCTTCAATCACACAACAGGTTTAATCTTGGAGGGAGGCTGAAGGAACCGATCTTCTGACTTCATACAACATCGCCAGCTATAAATTAACACCCTTGGGATGACTTGATATTCTGGGCAACACCCAAGAGACAGCTAATCAAGGCTAACACCAAGGGAACGGCAGTCACATATATTTAACCAGATCTCCTTCGTTGGGTTGTGCGAATCCAGCCAACCGGCCCATTGAACTAGGACTGACATTTGTTTTGAGGGAAGGAGAACCAAAATGAAAAGCTGGAGTGTCAGAGTTTCTGCTCAGTGGTGGTATGTTACCAGTTTGGCCCAGTTCGGCTGAACTGGAACTAAAAAAGGTCCCCAATAACAGCTGAGAGGAGAAAGAAGAGAAAAGCGCAGGATCAGCCTTCCAACCTACGCTTTTCTCTTCTTTTATCCTCTCAGCTGATTGGCACTGCAGGCCTCAGCTGGTGTGGGGGAAAGCTGCGTGTGCGCGCGATCACCAAAACGGTAGTGTTCCCGCTACTGTTTCTGCTCCACTTAGAATGAACTAATTTCTGCTCCACTTAGAAGGAACCAATATTTGAGGGGCTGCTACAGAGAGGAAGGGGCCAACCTGTTTTCCAAGGTACCTGAAGGCCAGACAGGGAATACTGAATGGATGGAAACTGATCCAGGAGAGATTCAACCTGGAAATAAGGAGGAATTTTCTGACGGTGAGAACAATCAACCAATGGAACAGAAGTTGCCTTCGGGAGTTGTGGGAGCTTCATCACTGGAGGCTTTCAAGAAGAGACTGGACTACCATCTATCAGAAATGGTGTAGGGTCTCCTGCTTGGGCGGGGGGTTGGATTAGATGACCTACCAAGTCCCTTCCAACACTGGACTGGCATCTGTCAGAAATGGTATAGAGTCTTCTGCTTGGGTGGGGGGTTGGACTTCTAGATGACCTACAAGGTCCTTTTCAACTCTATTAATCTGTTAATTTGGTCTCCTAGGCAGGAGAAGAGGACTTTCTGGTTTCCAGATCAACTTTGTCCTCTCAAACAGACCTTTGGGTCACCTTCAAAGTAGTGAAAAAAAACAAAACAACCTTCAAAGGTAGACCTTACACAACGCTCAATGTCAAGTGGTGCTGATTCACTACAAGGCTGAACCAACCAGGGTTGGCTGTTCTATCTACCTATTGGTGGTTAGGCTGAAGAAAGCAATGTTGTGATATCCGGACCCATGCCCTAACCCTTTTCTAATATGCATGGTGACGTCACACCCAGGTGCCAAGGGGGAATGATGCAGAGGTGTTGTTTATGTGGTTAGTTCAGGAGAAGCTCAAGGACTCCTCTGTGTCTAGAATTTCCTTGCCAAAGCGTTCTTCTCCAAGTGACAAGACCCTTTCAATGGATTATGTTAGCTTTGGACCAAAGGAAAGCTTTGGGATTGGAATACCTGTAAAATGGGCCTCATCTGCCCCAAATGACTTGAAGAAAGATTGTGTTGAGGAAAAGAAAGAGGGACGAGAAGGAGAGCCAAATTTTCATATGGGAACCTTCGATGATGATGATGATGATGAAGATGCAGCTGAATCCAAAAATGAGTCCGGTTTCATTCTCCTGTACAAGACGCCATCCCCATTTCTCTCCAGCTCAAAGAATGGGAAGTCAACCATGATAACGCCCTCAAGATCTCTTTAGATCTCAAGACTTTTCAAACCTTTGCAAGACAGCTAAAAAGTGTACAGCCTTTTTATCTCCACCATCCCCTCTGATTCCTCTCTAAAAAAAAAAAAGAATACTTTTGGTTACTTTGCACTTGATAATCTCTCCAAATCCAACCTTCTGATTTATAATGACATCCGGCCTTACCTATCCCCCAACTATTGCTTGGGGATTTCCATTTGACCTTAGAAACATTTGGCCTGAAGAGGATGGGACGTGGGAGAAATCACCTATCCTCGACATCCAAGAAACCTCTTCAGCTTCTTCTCGGAGCTGGAGAAGCTTCTTGGACGAGAAGCAAAATGTCTTCAAAATAAAACGAGAAAGTCCAGTAGCCACTTGAAAAAGCACCTTTGGGACAGTTGTGACCTAGATGAGTGAGAATCTCCATAGACATTAGCCAATATGCTTTAGCAAATAATAATAATGTAATGAGCTTTTATGAAAACATCCATGTAATATCATTGGCAACAATATGGAAATCATTAGCCGTTGTGTTATTACTTCCCAGTAGAGTGTACAGTCTGAGAACATCGGGATGATGTTCTATCCAAAGACTAACCAGGTCCAACTCTGATTTGTTTTCTGCAATCAGTCCAGCTGGATTAGACATTGCTACCTAGCTGGGTTTATCCAATAACGTATCTGCTGGCTTATCTAAATTGGTCCCATACATCATCTACTCAGCGCCCACTCCAGTTCATGCATATATCTGTTTATTCACATATTTCAATGCATCTGAAGGCATCAAGGTGTGGCTGTTAACTCTTAAAACCCAGAGTGATGCTACATTTTGTCTTTGAGTTTCTCCAGGTAGTTCCTGATCTGTTTCGATTCTCCCAGGTCCATATCTTGGCAAACCCATTTAATGTCATCTTCGTTGCAATTGAGGATGGAATTGACGGTGGGACAGCCGTCATCTGGAGGGATGGTGGTGAACGTGGTGAATTTGACCCGCTTCCGCTTGGAGGTGGGCGAATGCAAAGGGTGTTCCTGCTTCAGGTCCCTGATTTGCTTGTCCCGCAGTTGAATTTTTGGACTGCTTTGACTCGGGAGTTTTTTGGGTGTGCCAACGAGGAGTTGACTGCCCGCATCAAAGCCTACCCCTTGGTCTATGATTGTGGTGCACTCATCTGGTGGAGGTGAGACATCTGCTGGGTTGTCCAACAGCTCCATTTCATTCCCAAGCCACACCCAGTCATGAGAGTGGTTCATGGAGGCCTCCCTTTCCATGGGAAGCTGCTTGTGACGGTACTTCAATGTGAAGGTGGCACAGTTGATTAGGAAGACCAGAATGGCGAGGCAGAAGACTCCTAACAGGGCATACATCCCCGTCTCCAAGTCACTAAGAGCTCTAGGGGTCTCAACCAGGTCGCTGTCCTCCATGCCATTATTGCTTTGGGGGAGATCGATCTGAGCTGGGAAGTTGGTGAAGTCAATCGGAATGTTCTGGAGTAGACCTTCATCGGAGAGTTTATCTCCTTCAGGGATACTTTTGAAGACTTTGTTTTTGGTTGTAGACTTGGCTGTCACACTAGTCTTCCTTCCAGGGCCTTCTTCTCGTTCATCAGAAGAGCTTCTATAATATTGTCCTTCCTGGTCAAACACCTTCTGCCTCCGGTCACTGGCATGGTTTTCAATTTCCTCAGCACTGTAATCCCCAAGACCATGAGGGTTGGCATCGTTCTGGCCAAACTTGACTTTGATGTTTCCATTGCCAACGGCTAAGATACTCTTCCGCTTGGATTTCTGGCAAGATTCAGAGATCATCATATCTACTTTGACCAGCAGGCCTTCCCCTTCCCCTTCTGCTACTACCACTGGCCATTTGACAGTAGAGCTCTGATGAGCTGAAACAACCAATTCGTCAAGCGAGGAGGCAGAGAGAGAGAAATCTCTGGGATCATAGATATCCAGTGGGGTTACAGCACCATCGCTGAATTGGATCCAGGAGCTCACCATGGCCTCCTAGGAGAAAAGAAAAGGAAGTAGTTAAACAAGGTCAAACGCCTTCTGCCTTCTGAGATGTACGTTGAACATCTTGCTAGTTTTCTCAGAAAATGGACCGGTAAAAAAGAAAACACTTCGGATGAGTTAACCCTTTGAGACAGTCCAGACAAGAAGCAGAGTGATGAACCCCAGCTCTACCTTGGCAAAAAAGAACGAAATCGTAAACTACAACCACATGACAGAATCAAGAACGGATGAAGTTCTAGTACCACTTTACAAAGTCTTGGTAAGACCAACCTGCTGTAGCAGAAGACCTGTACCATTTGAGACAAGTGACTGTCCAGTCTTTTCTTAAAAACCTTAAGTGATGGAGCACTCAGAACTTCTGAAGGCAGCTTCCATTCCACTGGTTCAGTGGCCTCACTGTTAGGAAGTTTCTCCTTAATTCCAGGTTTTGGAATTATTGCCACTGGTTAATAATTAATAATTATTATTATATTTGAGTCCAGGCATGGGCTGCTGGGCATTCGCAGGGGTTCAGGAGAGGCCCTAGCTAAGATTCTGGGCAATTTAAAGAATCCCCAAATCCTACTCATGGCTGGCCCCGCTTACCCTGCCCCACCCCTCTCAGGAGTCCCCACGTGGCCCGTTTTAGATGCAGGTAAGTGCAGGGCACACAGGGAGCCTCGCGGAGGGCAAAAAACGGGCCTCTTGGAAGTTCAGGAGGGCCGGAAATGGGCCCGTTTCTGGTTTCCAGAGAACCTCCGGAGCCCAGGGAGGCCATTTTCACCCTCCCGGAGGTTCGAGAAAAACCTCTGGAGTCCGGGGAGGGCAAAAACGCCCCCCCCCCGCCATGGTGCAGGAGGCCGACTAGGCCACGCCCACCATGGCCACAACCACCCAGCAACCGGGCAGAGAACCCGTTGCTAAAATTTTTGAAGCCCACCCAGCCCTAGTTGAGTCCCAATTACTACTGGGGGTTCCAACTGCTTCCAAGGCCTCAGATCACGGCTAAAATAGATAGTTAGGAAGTCAAGGCCTTCCCAATCGATGTCTCCCAAGTTACTCTTTGCAACTCTTATTTTCTCAAGCTGTTATTCTGTTGTGGCTTTGAGGTTCATGGATCTGGTGAAAGCCTGGCCGAAAGTATTCAAGGAGACTGTTGTTTCCTGACACAAATCAGCTGTAATGGGACGAAGAAAAGAGAGTGCTTTTTACAGGGCTGGAATGCTTAATCAATAGGTCCGATCAATAAATCTGATACTTTTTTAAGCAATGCAGAAGGGAGCCGTTTAGCTTAATGGTCCTCAAGGATTATTCTACTTTCCAGGTAGGGAACAGCCAGAGGGGAGGTGGAAAAAAAAATCTCTTCTAAGAGGATGTGTCCCTTGACGCAAGCATCATTTAAACATGAGAGTGGTCTTTTCTTTTTCTTTGGAACAATTGGTACAAATGTTATTACTCATTTAGATTAAAAGGTTTTACAACTGCCTTGGGAAGAACATGTCTGGACCTCCATGGGGGTATTCGTGAAGAAGTAAGCTTTTAGACGGGGCCATAAAGTAAGAAGATGTAATGACTCTCCCCATTTCAGGAACAGTTTCATTTCTCCATTCCTCTATTTTGCACCGCATTTCTTTGATAATAAGGGCTCATGGCTTTAAAGATGAAACAATATGCCAAGATTCTAGAGGGCTCAACGTACGCCCAGAGGTGGTATTCAGCAGGTTCTGACCAGTTTTGGAGAACCAGTAGCAGAAATTTTGAGTTTGGAGAACCGGCCAATAGCACCTCTGACCGGCCCCACCCCCATCTATTCTCTGCCTCCCATTGAGTCCCAGCTGATCGGCTGGGTCTTCTTTGGTTGCCCTGCACAGGAGAACGGAGCTGGAAAGCAGGTTAATGGGGTGGGGATGGAATGAGGATTTTGCAGCCATGGCCACAGGACTGGTAGTAAAAAAAAATGTGAATTCCACCACTGGAAGAAAGAGAGGAACGAAAGGGGAAGGAAGAGAGAAAGGAAAGGAATGGAAGAGAGGAAGGAAAGGGGAAGAAAGAGAGGAACAAATAGGGAAAAAGAAAGGAAAGAAGGGAAGGAAGAGGAACAAAAGGGGAAGGTAGAGAGGAAAGAAGGGAAGGAAGAGGAACAAAAGGGGAAGGAAGAGAGGAAGGAAAGGAATGGAAGAGAGGAAGGAATAGGGAAGGGAGATAGGAACAAAAGGGGAAAGGAAGAGAGGAAGGAAAGGGGAAGAGAGGAAGAAAGGGAAGGAAGCAGAGGTGGTATTCAGCAGGTTCTGACCAGTTCTGGAGAACCGGTAGCGGAAATTTTGAGTAGTTCGGAGAACCGGCCAATGCCACCTCTGACTGGAGATTTTACAGTATCTTTCCCCTGCCACGCCCCTTCAAGCCATGCCCACAGAACCGGTAGTAAACAATTTTGAATCCCACCACTGCATATGACTCAGAAAAACCCAAAATACTCTCTACCTGTTTGGGAGTGTGGAGCAAGTCTTGAGCTATGGTGGTAGCCACGAAAGCTTGAGGACTAGCTATGCTGGGCTGAAGGACAAGGGACAACCCAGCTACGAGTTGGACTCCCATATCAGTGATGGTCACTTTGTCATCCAACACGGTCACGGTCTTCTCGGCCAAGATGGAGTCAGATAGTGGAGAAAGGACCTTTGGAAGTCAAAAGAGAGGTCCTCTTAAGAGCATATCAAAGTTACACTGTCCCTTTTTCTCAACTATCTTTATAGAATGGAATATCAAGGCAGGAATGTTCTCATACCAATGTGATAGACTGACCTGGACCATTGTCATGCCAACTTCTTGCCCAACCAGAACCTTGCCTCCTTGTAACTCCGCCACGTAAGGTTTCTCAAGCTTCATGAAGTCCGTCACCAAATCTGTTATGTCAATCTGCCAGTCGGAGCCCAACAAGTAGGACAGCTGCCCTGATGGGCTGGCATCTTCGGCCACAAACTGGGTGAGGACGCGCACCATGGCATGCTGGTACTGGAGGGTGCAGCCTCTTCCCTTATGGTCATCTACATCTTCATCATCACTGTCTCGCGTCAATCTGGAAAATTAGCATTTAGAGATTGTACTTCATGCTCAATGAGTTGAAGATGTACACCACACTTCAAAAATGCCATGGCTTCTTCTACAAAGAAGATGTAGAGGAATAGGCCATATGTTATCCTCTCCCCAATAATTATGTAAACTAAGGAGAGAGAGGGGGGGGAGAGGGAGGGAGGGAGGGAGGGAAGGAGAGGGAGAGGGAGAGGGAGAGGGAGAGAGAGAGGATAGATAGATAGATAGATAGATAGATAGATAGATAGATAGATAGATAGATAGATGATGGATGGATGAATGGATGGATAATAGATGATAGACAGGTAGGTGATAGATAGATAGATAGATAGATAGATAGATAGATAGATAGATAGATAGATAGATAGATAGATAGATAGATAGATGGATGGATGGATGGATGGATGGATGGATGGATGGATGGATGGATGGATGGATGGATGGATAGATAGATAGATAGATAGATAGATAGATAGATAGATAGATAGAT